ATATGTTGGCTTGAAATGAGCTACTTACCGACTTGGCTTGACATGAAATACTGCACCGACATTTCAGACCATTGCAGAACCGTAAATGGATAACCGCCAAATAATTAACTCACGGCAAACAATAGCGCTTTCTACTAATAACGTCACAAATTTCTGGTCCCTGCTGTGACTCAGACATTAAACCTGACCAGTGTAAGAGTGTAGTATGGGAAAGTCACGTTCGGTAACAAATTTTCGTCGTCTTTGAAGATGTTTATCGTTAAACGAAACAAAATCCACCTTGGTTTCGATAATAAATATCCTGAAAATAATCAACTCGTGCCAAGACAGCGTTAAACGTGGAAAAAACTGTACAGATGAGTGGTTTTATTTCTTATGCGGCATCATATTTGCTGTGGGTAAAGTTATGTTAAAATGTGTGGCTTCATAGCTATGCGTGAAACGGTGCATTTGGTTAAATTTATAGGCAAAGGTTGCTTAATTTTTTTTCGAGTGCTTATGTTACGCTATAGTACTACGGGATATAAAGTACTAAAGTATTCGTCGCGGATTCAAATGGTCTACCTGGCCGCAGAACAACAGAACAAACTTATACAATTTCCGGTTTGTGCCAATATTGGTGTGCTTTTCACCGTAGATATTCAGTCACAGGCCTGCGAGAAGCACATCCCAACTCGATTTTCTCCAGTTAGCAATTTCGGTTTTGGAGTATTACACAGCCAATAATGTTATGTCATGTTTCAGTCTATAGCGGTGCTTTCTGCCTAAGACACAGAGCTAGGGATCCGATTTCAGTAGCCTTCTTTGATCGAGTCGCTTTATTTTCTGATTTTAACCATTTATTTGAGTTACTGGACCAGGTTTTGCTCCCAATAGCAGTAGGGCCTTTTATATATTGGAATTATGCTCAAAAAACATTTTAAAAACGCTAACTGCGAATTTTATGAACAGTTTTCATGTCGGAAACGTATGTTTCCCATACAAAGCCTTGGAGTAGAATGCAAAGTTTGTCTGAGTCACGCGGGGGGTCTAAGGTGACAAAACCTATTTTTAGTAATAGTATAAAGCGCTATTACAAGAGGTAACTGTGTGAGGAAAGCTTAAACCCCCCCTCCTCGCGACCCATCTTAATATATTTTGAATTTAGAAGCAAACGTTCACTCGTTACTGTCATTTGCATGAACCCTCACTCGCCCAACCTTTTTTTTTATTTGTTGCGACAAAATATTGTTTTCTCATACTCACAGAGGATATCAGTTTCTTTTTCTTGATTAATTGATTGTTTTTCGTTTTTCTTTTGTTATTTTACGTTATTATTAATTTTTACAAAAATTATTTTATTATTATTATTTTATTATATTTTTTTTCATGAAAATTATTTTTATTTTTTCATGTTCCGGGATGTTCCGGGATGTTCCGGAATGTTCCGGCATGTTCCGGCATGTTCCAGAATGTTCCGTGTTCCGGATTTTATCGACGGCCGTCGTGGCGCTCGTGTTATATGAATATTGTGTACAAGCATGAAAACGCTTTGTGAGTGAGTTGAAGTGATTTTGTCTTACACAACCGATTGTGGGGTCCAGAAAGGTGGATTCTAAGTCTGTTTTAGTCGGGCATCTCGCTATGAGCCTCATAGTTTAAGAGACTGAAAGGTCATTATTTCTGTGTTTTTTAATATTGTCCATTTCGTTTCAAATCTGTCCCTTTTGCCAAGAGCAACTTTTCGTTTGCTGCCAGCGATTAATTTGTCCGTTTTAAGCCCTAACTAGCGACTTTCAACTGCTTTTTATTCACCTCAAGGGTCAAGTTGTTAAAACGCACTTAAAATTTCTGTAGGTACCTCTTTATAAATCCAGAAAGATATGTATTTGTATTTGTTTCTTTTATTAAATATCAGTTAATGAATGAGGCTGAGTGTCTTATGAAGAATTATGGAGATCGAGGAGGGTGTTATCCGTCGAGGCCGTTGGCCGAGGCGGATAACACTCTCCGAGATCTCCATAATTCTTTATATGATACGAAAGCCGAATTCAATAACTGTTTTATTATTCATTCAAAATAATTCCTAGTTTAAAAACATAGCTAAAACATGCTTACCTCCATCGATCCATCGATGTTCAGTTCATCTTCGATAGTGCACGTTTAGGTTTAATTTGTCCAGCTCCGCAAATATTCTCCAAATAGCAGATGTGGCCCTTCGAGTTGTCTTCTTGCTGTTCTTGCCATGTTTTAGTTATTTTTTCGCCTAGTTCTTACTCTTGAAACGAGTGAAATGTCCGCCATTTTTTCAAGTTCACAACCAAAACTACTTGACCTTGTCCCCAGGTCTTCTCGGTTAACGGTGCCTTAACCTGCGAAAACGCTGCATTTTTGACGTCATTTCTTCGTCATTTTTCCAAATTTGGTCATCAGTAACTGGTTACGGTGAATTAAACGTGTGGTTTTAGCCAATCGGAATCGGGGAAATATTTTGAATGTATAATAACATGTCTTAACAGCCCGGTGGCGGGGGGGTACTGTACAGCCCCCGAAATGATCCCGACCCCGAAATGATCCCCAAATCGACCCCGAAATGATACCGACCCCGAAATGATCCCCATTTCTCTTCACGTCGACCCCGTAATGATCTCCATTTAATTTTAGGAACGGAATGATATCCTAGAACTATGGATCGTGCAAAATGCACAACATCATAACTTAAGCTTCACTAATAATCTTCACTTGCCCACATGACATTAATTTGGGATTACACTTTGAACTGGATTAAACGCCGGAAAATATTATTATCAAAAAAATACACAAAGTCTAGTATATTTTTAGTAACACCATGAACTGCAACTGATAATATCAACAAAAATGACATTTTTTAAAATTATTACTTAGGTGATTATGGCCCGGGTTATAGAGAAAACTGCATAGATGTTAAGTTCTAAAAATGATGTTAAAACTACGTGCCTTTGATATTGAACTTTAAAAATGGTGTTTTAACACTTTTCAAAATCTTAAAATTATGTTGAAGATGCAAAAGTATACATAAAGAAGGCATTTAGATGACAAAAGCGCTAAAAAATCACATAAACTGTAGAGAAATGTTTATTTTAAGGTAAAAAAAAAACACTACAAATACCGTGTACGATCAATCTTGCTCAACGTTCCAAAAAGATCGTGATCAGTCAGAATAGATCAAAATGAAAACGTTACGTTCAAGAAGACTTTAGCAGGTTTCAGTCTAAGTCTTGTAGATCTAAAAGTTCTCTGGGTAGCCTAAAAGTGTTTTCAATGTATTTAGGAGGACACAGTCGTTGGGTGCTCCTGGTTATTGGAAGGCTTGGAATGACTTATCTCAAAATGTGACTCTTTAAGTTCGCCATGATTTGCGATATATTTCTTGGCGCAAACCTTGGTTTTAAAACATGGAACACAGATTGAGTTAACGCAAAATACGTCATAATTGTCAGACCACTTTATGCGTTAGCGCAAACCTTGGCCCCAGTAAAGTGCACCTACTTTTGTCAAGAATGACCTCCGACGCCGGTCAGGTAAATTGAGTGGACGCGATTTGTGAGCTGAGAACAGAAGAGTTAAACGCCGCATTTTGCAATAACGCAAAGAGTGGTATCGAAACATCACCATAGTTTGAAATGTCGCAAACTAACTAAGACTTCAGCAACAAGGGCCATCTTTTAAACCGCATATGTTATTTTAAAATATGCCTTTATCTTTAAAAGAAGGACAGTTCTTATTGGTCCATGCAATTGGACGAACCGAAAAGGGTGGTTATACCATGGGTGAAGTACTTTCATTGAGTGTAGATGAGGTTGATCAGCAAATCCTCCTGTTTTAAATCACAGAAGGTTTAATTTGCACTGCCATGCCATTGATGTTCAAAAGTAAACAGCTAGGTGGATGAATGTCCTGTAAATCATAACTTGGAAGTCTCTACTTTTTTGGCTAGTGTCATTCACTGAATCCTGACTGCCAAACTGAAATTTTTGCTTGGTATATGCCGCTGGCCTCTCAGAACCCCTACCCCATTATTATACTGTCTATTCTGCGGACTCTATAGAAGCCATCTTATCGACTTTTTGACAAATATAATTTTGGCGATCACAATATATGTAGTCCTTTCTTTCTATGCATCTACCTTATAACATTTCAACAACTTTTCAACTTTTCAACTTTTCAACCGTGAATCTTCTGTTGAATTCCTATTCAAAAATGTGCGACACATTATAATGTCCAAAATCATTATAGCCAATCTAGACGTGAAAATGCGACCTCGTCCAGCAGCAAATCCCCATCAGCAAGAAAAGAAAACAAGAAAATACTATATATATGTGATGTTTCAATTCGCGGGAAACATAATCAAAAATGATGCTAAAAATACTGATCTTTTCCCCCATCGAGTTTTTCTGTTGAGGGTAGAGAGTGGTTGTACACAGGTTACTGCCAAAAACAGCTAAAAACGTTTTGTTGATTACTTCTGATGCACCTATGACTGCAGGAATTACTTGCGTTTCTATGGCCACATTTGTTCGAGCTAAATTTTAGTGCTGTTTTCTTGATTAGTTAATTCCGTCTCGATGCATTGATGGAAGTATTTCAGTCAGAGGATATATTTTCGTCAACGACAATAAAAGTGCTTTGTTTTGTCTTGATAACAATGTCACGTCCATAGTCAGATATTAGGAAGCTTAAGCACGAGGACTTTTCAAGACGACGCCGCCGTCAATGAACGGTTGAGACTGGGACTAGGTCCATTGCGCATGACATACCCCTGACAAACGACGTCGCCCTGCCGCCGACGACGTGAGTTTGGACAATTTGACGGCGTACTAGGAACGTGAGTGATTTATGAGATTTCATTGCTTTTTTAGGATTTTTTTACTTTTATTTTTGGTTCATACGATTTCAACGATTTCAACCGATGCTCAAATATATTTTTAGTTGAGTTTAAGAACAGTTTCTGCCTTTTTTAAGCAGTTTTATAGAAGACAGAAATGGCCATGGCCACAGAGCAAGATCATCCGACGAGCAAACCTCCCCTCAAATCGTAAGTAGAATGAAATATTTTATCTGCGAATGAGAAAAACAGACATATTGCATCGACGGCATTTTAACATTTTAAAAGAAATGGAAACCTACGTGGCTCTTTCATTGCTTGTCTGGCTTTCCGAAGTACGTGTTAATTTGTTTGGATGTTTAAAAGTTACTTTATTTTGCAATCTAGTGTTCATGTATGGGAAAAGTTTTCTGCAGTTTTTCTGGTGCAGTCAACATGGTTAAGTTTGGTTATCCTTACTTAACATCCCTTAAAGCCGTCATCAAATACCTTTCAGAAAGTGCACCTTTTGAGTTTTTTCATAGGGCAAGCACACATTAATATTAACAAATAAATATGGCAATTTACATTTTTCTGTTGATTTATTTTAAGAGTAATGCAATGGAAACCGGAGCATGATGCCATATTTTTAAGAGAGGTCCTTGCCTCAGATCTCTATTCCACTCGCAAAGGTAGCTCTGAAAAGGAAAAAATCTGGTCACAGCTTGCTGAAAAGTTGAATGAAGTGTCCAGCTGTAAACAGTCCGGAATATCCCTAAATTTAAGGACAGGGCCAACTGGTCACGCGACACTTTTCAACCAATGAGAAGGCGCGCTTGTGTTTATCAACAAACAAATCAAAACATTGCCCCAGTGATCAAAAATTTTGAAAACAACGGACGGAGTCGGACAGAATCAGTCATCGTTTCGAGGTTCTCAGGCATATTTGTAAGACTTTTCATGAGGCATACAAAATTTTTTTAAGTGGACAGCGTATCGGAAGCCATATTGGAAGTGTCTCGTGAAATATTCAGCACATTTTGCGGCTTATTCTTCTTTTATCTTTAAAACAGCGCGATGTATAGGAGAGATTTTGGTCGGCTTTCAAGGTAGGTGAACAAGTACCTATTATTTTTTCGATTCACAGATTTTTTACGAAGTTCTAGATATTTTTCCTCGATTGTCATATCGATTAACTTTTATCATGTTGAATGTGGGGATGGTAGACAACCTAGAATTTTGGAAGACAATTTTTGAATTCCGAGGTCCAAAACACATACTTTTTCCACTCCCGGGTTTCTCACAAAAGCCGTGTTATTACTTTTTTTCGCATTAGTACGAGCCTTTGCCTTTTTTCTTTTCAAGGCCAAAACAACTTTATTAGTCTTATGGATATTCACGTCCAACATCTCGCCTCACTTTGCCGAATTTGCGGGGATGAAATTGAACATCATAAGCGCAAGGTAGATACTAACCGCTTTGTTTCTGAAATTCACTAATCTGGAAAGATTTAATGTTGTTGGATTCTCCAAATGTTCATCCGCCGTTAAAAAACAATCAAAGAAACAAGGCAAATCTCAATTGTAAATGCTGTATTTCGCTACTCATTGAACATGTACTGATTATCTGGGATAAAATTAAAACATTGCAGGTACTACAGCAAGCAAAGAAGGCACCAGATGCGTGAAGTCAACACGAAACAACACAAAAAACAAACAAGAAAAATTAATAAATTTGAACTACTTTCTTTTCTTGTTATATGATGACTGGTTCTTTGATTCTTGTCCTGTAGAAGTTAATAGGTAGTACCAATGCTGTTTTGTACGATCTCAACAAATTTCACACTCTCTCAAAGGCTATTTTTACACTGGACGAGTTTGCTTCTATCAAAAATCTTGCAAGCGATGCCAGTGAAGCCACGACCTCTGCGATCGGTCCGGAATCAGTTCGAACACCCCAGTGATTCCTTGCAATGTTTAATGCTCTTATTCTCTTACATGACATGTTTTCTTTGAAATATTAAATGCGAAATCTAGACGAGTACTGTAAGCTCATCTTTAATTCTGTCAGACTCCGTCCGTTGTTTTGAAACTTTTTGATGACTGGGGCGATGTTTTGATTTGTTTGTTGATAAACACAAGCGCGCCATCTCATTGGTTAAAAAGTGACGCGTGAACAGTTGGCCCTGTCCTTAAATTTAGGGATATTCCGGACTGGTAAATTTATTGTTACACAGAAATCCCTAAGAGATCGTTTAAAGCTTTTGACGCAGAAGCACAAGCAAAAAATGAGGTCAGAGGAGAGAGCTAGTGGAATAGATCCAGAAATGACGGAAATAGATGTAATGCTTGAGGAAATTTGTGAGAAAGAAGAAGTGGCAGAAGAGGAAGATGAGACCAAAAAGAAAAAAGCCAAGGCAGAAAAGGAGAGTGCAGAGAAAATGAGGTTAAAAGCCATGGAGAAATTAAGTGAGAGCCAGAAAAGAAAGGATCGCAATGAGGAAGCTCGACCCAAAAAGAGCAGAAAGAGTATTGGTGATGCTGTGAGCTACCTACAAGAGAAGTCAAAGCAAGAAATTGCTTTGAGGAAAGAGGAAATCGAACTGAAAAAGCAAGAGGAGGGAAGAATTGCCCATTTGTCTGAACAGCAACTTAAAATGCAGCAAGAGATGCTGCAGATGATCCAGCAGCAACACCAGAATCAGCAAAGACAACAGCAAGAACAGCAGAGACAGCAAGAGAGGCTTCAGCAGCAACAACTTCAAACCATGAGGTCCATTCTAACCCAACAGCAACAACAGTCACAAGCAATGCTTTCTTTGTTTGAAAAATTTGCTCCCAAGAAAGATCCCTGAACAAACAGGATATTGGATTGTAAGAGAGCATTCTGTTGTACATGGTTCACCTTTTGGAAAAAAATAGTTCAGGAATGCTGTATGGCTGCAATGTTGTGTATTATTAGAAGTTGATGCACACGTAGCCCAAGCTCACTATGAGAGCCCTGAACAACATTATCCTACTTAGCTAAATAATTATTCATACAGCCAGAAAATTATAAGACGTTGTATGGGGAAATATTCTTTGCTCACTAAATTAGCAAAATGTACTTTGAATATTGCTTTGAATCTTACCTTTAGAGTCTTCTTGTTTTTCTTTGTATTCTGACTTTCAGACCCCCTAGGCACTGTTTAAGGCCTTTTTTGGAGTGAAAAACTGTCACTCCAAAAAAGGCCTTAAACAGTGCCTAGGAGGTCTGAAATGCACTCAGAATACACAGAAAAACAAGAAGATGCTAAAGGTAAGATTCAAAGCAATATTCAAAGTACATTTTGCTAATTTAGTGAGCAAAGAATATTTCTCCATACAATGTCTTATAATTTTCTGGCTGTATGAATAATTAAGAGCGAATGCACAGAAAAATCGAGCAAACCGTGGCCACAGCTCAAAACCTAACCTACCCTCATTTTAAGTCTGTAATAAGGTTTTAATGAATTTATAACACTGCTGAGGTTTAATTTTCAAAATGCGGCCGAGTTTGGGAATTATTTGAGATTTTCGATTTCAACGGTCTGCGGGCCTAAAATTAGCCGCCGAACACGGCAATATAGCCTAGCGACAGAAATGAGCTGAATTTCATAAACGAGCGAATATATTGCCAATCTTCCACTTAAATCTCAAAAAGCAGATATCTAACAATTTCTGAATGGCTTATTTTTTAGATTTAGAGTATAAAATATCGACGAACCAGCAGAATTTTGAAACGTAATTTGCATAATGCTTATAAATACAACAGTTTACCGCTAAAACCAAAATCGAATTTTCTATATGGGGGAATTCTCCAAATCTCCCCAAATCCCGCTTACTACCTAATGAGATATAGTACTTCAACATTATCTGAAAGTTAGTCTGGTGTTCTTGCGAACGCTTGTGAAATAGATTGATTATTTTGAAGTTATTTTGCCCCAAACAACTGCTAATTGACCCCAGGGTCAATTGACACGTGCACGTCACCTTAGTTTTATGCATCGATTTGAGCTCGTTAAAAGGGAGAAACTAACAAGATTCTTTTAATATGTACCTGTTTTAATGAAATACACGCAATCTTCAAAAGGAGAGGCCGTTCAATGGGTAATTTCTGTTCTTGAGATCTTGTAGATTGTACCATGGCGTCTGCGAGTGGACCTGAGTCTAGGTCTGTTTTCCCGTGACTGCGAAATCAGAATAACATCATGAAATAATTCTCTCTCGAACCTTCGTAAATGAATCAGCTTTGCAGTGCCTTACCTGAGATAAAAAGTGGGCAGAATAGGAAAACATTCTAGCCCAATTTGGATCCTTTGCAGCACGTAGTGTATTTGGTAAGCGGCGATGGTATTAATGACTTTTTTAAAAGTCAGGTGAGTAACTAATTAAAATTAGTTACTCACCTCCGATTGCGTGACCAGGCAATTATAGATTGTCTCCAGCGAAAAATAAGTGCATGTGAAACCAAAGCTTTCGGGATACAGTAAATTCATTTTCCTGTATGACCAGGTGTCCTTTTGTCCTTTTTTAAAAGCGGTTAACTAAGATGATTAGCAAACATACTGTCCCACTTTAAAAAATGGTACAGTAACTGAATGTTCTGTTCTTCTGATTTTACCCCTAACCCCGGAGTGTTCAGAAGATATATTTGCACTACGCATGAAACGCAAATGGATTAAATTTTAAGGTTCAAGGCGGTTTTAAGGCATGGGTTACCAGTGGATTAGTCAGACTTGTCATAAGGTGCATTGAACAGAAAATTACAGGCATGATATCTCTGCTATTGTATGTCCATTAAGTGATTTTCCATCAAACATTATTTTTTTACTTTTTTACCCCAAAAGTTTTTTTCGTTCAATTCTTATTATGAGATGTAAACTTAATTAAATTTCTGTAATTTGTTGTTAAATGCAAATCTGCAAACAACTAAGTATTTAATTTTGTGTAAAAGCTACATGAAATTGTACTGTTTAGCCGTAAATCATTAAAAAGAGAAAGCATCATGCTTTCTTTTTTCAAGTCTAGTAGGACTTAAGCAATGGCATTGCTTAAGTCCTAGTAGTTCTTCTCCATGTCTGCTACGGGGGGAATAGTTTGCTCTTTTCAAGAAATTCTTCTTGCCCATTGCGGTTTCAAACCAAGGATAGCAGCAAGTCTGTCGTGGTCATATACTGCTACTTCAGTGCAAACGAAGCATAGGCGCACAAGTCAGCGCTTGCGTTTAGTCAGGTGCCGAAAATGAAGTGGAAACTTAAACCTAAGGTCGTCCATGTTCGCTCCGGCTCGAAAAGGTAGAATCAGTTGTGCAGTAAAAAGTAATGCGAAAAACTTGCGGGGGCTGGGGAAAGAAAGGCGTCTTATTTTTCTTTGGCTTGTTCTATTTTCGCGACGTGCTACAGGTTACGAAATACTGACAAGCTCAATATATGTCTTCACCACCGAGAGTCACTTGCCCTTAGCCGGACACGCCCCTCACGTATCATGTTTCGTTCCTAAAGTTATTTCAAAGCACAGAACCAAACCTAATCAGCGGCCGAAGGCAGAAAAGGGGATGAGCAAACGGATGTCACAGCATATTTTGCAAGAAACCGGTATCCTTGTGCCTATCGGCTCAGGAACGATTGATTACTACTAGAATAAATACCAGGGTCAGAATTTGAGTGCTACAATGGGAGGGAAGGAAGAAAAGAAAACCGCCGCGCGCACCTGTTAAGTCTTTTATAAACTTTCTCGTCCTGACGGTCTCAAAGAAGGGCGTTGTGGCTGCTATTTAATTTACAGTGTCTGTTGCAGGAGTCGAATTAATCCTACAGCAACTGGAAACGTGGCCACGCCTGCTGAAACTGAGATTGCTTGTAGGATATTCGGCTATAGTTTGGTATATTCACGAGCGCGTTTTGTCCAGTGAACTGAGCGCGTAGTTTTTCTTAACGAAGGGATGGGGTGGGTCAAGTGAATATTTCGGGGAACGTTTGCTCTCTTTAGTGGGGGGGGTATATTTGTTGATATCAGGAGTTCTGGCCTGGATAGAGTCGTTGTAAAGCTATTTTTGCTTCGGGGTATCGGTTTCCCGGAAGCTGAGCAAGGAAAATTCAATGGTGCATTTATGGAATAATAATAGAGATTCTCATGGTCTAACAGTGCGAAGATTAGACTTCTGGTAAGGTGACAACGATCAAGGCCCGCATTATAATTCATGATAATTGAAGGTCATGATGTGGAAAAAGAGACTGAAATGGTGGATGCCTTGCAATCCTCTCGGGTGGGGGCGGGGCACCTGGCCTTAACGGTTGCCCCTTCGACAGAAGGCAAGCATGCCCAGATTGTCCACGGGTTGCTAAATGAGACCGTCCCTTTCTTAGTACCCGTTCCCTGTCTTTTTATTAGACCCGGGCAAATTTCTCGAGATTGCACCATCATTTTGGGCTTTTAAGCTTCCAAAGTCCAACAATAATAGTCCATGTTCGCGACGGTTTTTTAAGGTGGCTCGATACAGTTTTTCAGGGTCAATACCTCCCAAGTTTGAGCATAAACTACGTAGCCAAAAACAAAGTTTTGGAAAAATTGCCACCACAGTTGTTTTAGATAAAGATGAAAATTTGTCCTGATCAGGGTTGCAACGGCATCGGAGTTGTCATAGCAACGAAATGACGCTATTACCTATTTTACTTGCAGCAGTATATCTCGGCACTAGGAACTGTTCTTCGAAAATCATTCACGGGAGCTTTTTCCTCCAATAACAGCCTCGATGTTCGTGAAGTTTAAGCGAAATCTGTAAGAGCGTTATCGAAATATTTTGGGATAAAGTTTTTATTGTTAGAAACACAGTAAAAAATGGACAATATTTTTGTTTGGCCGTTATCTGTAGAAAATGAAGCGCTTTCGACATGAAATTTCACCTCACAGTAGTTTCAATCTTTTTAAAAAGCGTGTGTGAAAGATCATGGGAGATAGCTCCAGCCGATTGCTAGAAAGAAGGGTTTGATTAGTATGTATCGAAGCGCTCTTGTTAGCGGTTTTGTAAACATCTTGGTCTACTTTAACAAATTAGCGAATAATTTTTAAACCGCTCGATAGATTGTTTTAAAAATTTAAGATTCTTGAGATTAACCTTCCTTTTATATGACCTTTTAGTTTCAAGATTATTGATATATTGTAAGGCAGTAAAATAAGGGCTACAATTCGTTACTTTTTTATCGAAAGTTTCGTCATTACAAGTGAAAGCCTCTAGTTATTCAAGGCATTGTCTCCAAGTTTCATTTTCACGTGAACAGCAGTAACTAACAATGCATTTGAAATATGCAAAAATGCTAGCTATTGTTGTGCACGAAAATATGAAACTTGGACACAATACCCTGAATAATGAAAGGCTAACACTTGTAAACACAAACTTTCTGCCAAAATATTAGCGAATTGTAGCCCTTATTTTACTGCCTTACAATATATCAATAATCTTGAAACTAAGACGGTTATATAAAAGGAAGGTTAATCTCAACAATCTTAAATTTTTTAAAAAATCTATCGAGCGGTTTAAAAATTATTCGCTAATTTGTTAAAGTAGACCAAAATGTTCAAAAAACCGCTAACAGGAGCGCCTCGATACATACTAATCAAACCCTTCTTTCTAGCAATCGGCTGGAGCTATCTCCTTGATCTTTCACACACGTTTTTAAAAAGATTGAAACTACTATGAGGTGAAATTGCATGTCGAAAGCGCTTCGTTTTCTACAGATAAAAGCCGAACACCAAGATTGTCCATTTTTTACCGTGTTTCTAACAACAAAATCTTTATCCCAAAATATTTCGATAACGCTCTTACAGATTTCGCTTAAACTTCACGAACATCAAGGCTGCTATTGGAGGAAAAAGCTCCCGTGAATGATTTTCGAAGAACAGTTCCTAGTGCCGAGATATACTGCTGCAAGTAAAATAGGTAATAGCGTCATTTCGTTGCTATGACAACTCCGATGCCGTTGCAACCCTGATAAAAACAAGTTTTCATCTTCATCTAATACAACTGTGGTGGCAATTTTTCAAAAAATTGGTATATGGCGACGTAGTTTATGCTCAAACTTGGGAGGTATTGACCCTGAGAAACTGTATCTCCGGTGAATTAAGGAATGGGTCCTCCTTACATGCGGGGTTTTATGACTTGATCTTGTTTTTTCCAGTATCTTCCTTTATTTTACTCTTAGACCGCTGTGTTTAAGAACAGAACCACTTTGGACCTTAAACACTCCCTTTTTTAGATCACGTGACCAGCCACGCCCATAATTATGCAAAATTTGGACTTTGCAGATTACACCAGTTTACTGAATGTGACCACAATCGTTTTTCCTTCCATAATATTTCATTTACAGTCAAATAAGCTAGATTAATCGGGGATTTGTGAAATGATCCATTCCTTCGTAATTATTAGATATTTTTCTCTCGTCCCAGTCTCCCTCTTATCAAGAAACGTTATAGTTTACAAAAGGTAGATAATTTAAGAAAACCCCGATTAATTCCACAAACTTTGTGTCAATAGTCATTGACAAAAAGTGAATTAAATTAAAAGGGTTATTTATAAAGTGGTGTAAATTTGGATTGAAATAAAAAGTCAAAAATGGGTGTGGCAAGTCATGTGACACAGATAATACGTTAGTAATAATGAAAAATGAATGCTTATGGGGAGTAGATATTGAATTTAAAATATTAATGCGAAAGGCAAAATCCCTACTAAAACAGACCACCCCCCTCCAAATTTGCAGTGCCCCATTCCTTAATTCACCGGAGATCGAGCCACCTTTTAAGTCAGTCAAGTTCTTAAACCAGGCCTTAAACGGCCAGTTTTAAGTGTCGATAACAGTTAAAAAGGCGTACAAGCCCCATGCAAAAGACAGTGGGAAGGAAGTACACATCGGTGATGGGGAAAAAGGACTAGCCCGCAGTTATTTAGGGGTGGATCTTTCGAAACATTCTTATACTCTTGGACAGATATGCATTGTTTAAAGTTTTAGACAAACCAGGTGTAAATTTATAGTAACAAACTGTTAAATATACATCAGCAAGATTTTTGCGAATCCTATTTTTCGCTGGAGACTATCGTTTACTGGCTGGTCACGCAATCAAAGGTAACGTACTTTCCCACGTTTGTTTACTGACCTTTCGCTCGGCAATACACTGCGTTCGACAAAGGATCCAAATTGCGCTGGAAATGTTTTGCTATTCGGCCCACTTTTTATCTCAGGTAAGGCATTGCAAAGCTGATTCACTTACGAAGATTCGAGGGAGAATTATTTCTTGATGTTATTCTGATTTCGCAGTCACGGGAAAACAGACCTAGACTCAGGTCCACTCGCAGACGCCATGCTGCAATCTTCAAGATCTCAAGAACAGAAATTACCCATTGAACGGCCTCTCCTTTGAGGATTGCGTGTATTTCATTAAAACAGGTACATATTAAAAGAATCTTGTTAGTTTCTTCCTTTTAACGAGCTCAAATCGATGCATAAAACTAAGGTGACGTGCACGTGTCAATTGACCCTGGGGTCAATTAGCAGTTGTTTGGGGCAAAATAACTTCAAAATAATCAATCTATTTCACAAGCTTTCGCAAGAACACCAGACTAACTTTCAGATAATGTTGAAGTACTATATCTCATTAGTTAGTAAGCGGGATTTGGGGTGATTTGGAGAATTCCCCCATATAGAAAATTCGACTTTGGTTTTAGCGGTAAACTGTTGTATTTATAAGCATTATGCAAATTACGTTTCAAAATTCTGCTGGTTCGTCGATATTTTATACTCTAAATCTAAAAAATAAGCCATTCAGAAATTGTTAGATATCTGCTTTTTGAGATTTAAGTGGAAGATTGGCAATATATTCGCTCGTTTATGAAATTCAGCTCATTTCTGTCGCTAGGCAAAATTGCCGTGTTCGGCGGCTAATTTTAGGCCCGCAGACCGTTGAAATCGAAAATCTCAAATAATTCCCAAACTCGGCCGCATTTTGAAATTTAAACCTCAGCAGTGTTATAAACTCATTAAAACCTTATTACAGAATGAAAATGAGAGTAAGTTAGGTTTTGAGCTGTGGCCACGATTTGCCGATTTTGCTCGATTTTTCTGTGCATTCGCTCTTAATTAGCTAAGTAGGATAATGTTGTTCAGGGCTCTCATAGTGAGCTTGGGCTACCTGTGGTTGATGCTATTGAAAATTAAATCAGGGTGTTGTTTCCTCTGCCTGACTTTAAGGCGTCTATTTAACTATGATTTTTATAGTGCTAAACATTTTTGTTATTTCACTTACATCAAGGTGTTATTTTATTGATAAACACAGTGAGATGTTTTTTCTCCTTTGCAGTACAAGGAAACAATGTTTGACTTTGAATTTTCATAACCACTGATAGAGTTGAGTTCCCTGTACAGCTTTGAAATTTACATAATATTTAAATAAAAAAAAAAACATTTGTTATTAATGTCACACAGAGGTGACAGGTATGGAAAGAAATACATACAGTGTAACTTTACTTATAGGCTCAGTCTCCAGCCATGGGTGTCTCGATGTGCCCAAGGTACTGTACCATGGGTACATTGAGACACACATGACTGGAGATTGAGCCCACTGTATTTAGAGCTGTTTTTGTTGTGCATGGTCGTAGATTAGACACCCAGAAGAATACCACCATCTACAATCCCTAAAGAATTCAGCAAACACTATTTGTCTACTTTTAATGATAGAGTCAATTATAAAATTGACAAAAATAGTATTTCAACTTAATTAAGTTGGGGGTTTTACAGACTCGTATCTGGAATAAAAGATCTTTGGTTTTTCTCAGTTTCATACAAGTTATCTCTTATCAAAAATACTTAAGAGTCAAACAAAATAATCTTGCAGGCTTGGGGGATCTAGCTGAAAATACTGTGAGGTTTCATTTCCATATAAACATGTAAGGGCATTTCGTAGTAAAGCAGATACAACGTACATTTTGCCAACGCTACTGAGCCCCACTTTCAGATTTTTCTTGAAGTCTATAAATTTAAAGTAGTTTTGGACATCTGCAAATAGCCATTCAACCGATGTTCGCACAGAGTTCATTGACTGGTTGTAAAGCTGCTTCTGAGTGGTGAGGTAAGCATCTCTAAAGGGGCCCTGCAGATGAACCCTTAGGGGGTAGGCAGGGTCCCCATATATGCACATTGGTTGCCCTGTTGTTGAAAATGCATATTGTTCAAGATCTTGAAGTAGTCCAGAATCTCTGAGCATACTGGCATCATGCCTCTTTCCCTCTAGAATAAATAGGGAATATCTTATTAAAAAACCTTCATATAGATATTTATTGTTTACATGCAATCAAGTCAATCTATTTCAAGTGACCTGTCTTTTGATAATACACTGGCTTTGGTTATGAATGTTTTTGACATTATAAGGGACTGATCAATATACCATGTGAAAGCATAACCTTTGTAACATTGATATAGGTACAGGTAGATGAGAGAACATTCCATTTCCCTTACTTAATTTCTTTTATTATTTTAACTATTTCACCCTTCTTGTTGCATCAAAATTATTCTGTTCCACTCATTTTTATTCAGTCCACAAAGTGAGAGGCTGGGCTTAAGAGTCTATTTTAGAGTGAAATGGAGCAGGGGCTGTTTAACTGGAGGGAAGCCAATGAAGTGAATGTTCGACTGTAATATAAATTTATAGAGAGAGTCAGGTAAGCCCGCATGCTGGAATAACAACAAAATGACAAAAGAAACACGTAATTTTCACTTACCTACTGGTCCATATAGACTGTTTTCACTCACGTGGCCAGCATCTATGCAAATTTATTAAAACAAAAGAAAGCGTTTGCATAAGAAAAGAGTTCAACTCCCACAGGAGTGGTTTGGGACACCAATATGGCCGCCGTTTTATTGTTTTGGGACACCAATATGGCCGCCGTGACGTCATATGAAAACACTCTATAGGTTACCAATCAGTCCATTAGGTAGGGCAAGCGACTGAAATTTTAAAGCGTGTACTCGCTTATGTCCATTATACATGATACGCTGGTGTTCATCTGGTCGAGCTATAGGTCGGACAGTTCCGTCCACAAATCCAAAGCAGTTCTCCAATGCAGCCCCCTTTCCGTGGATAGTTTCTGCGTATACTTCTAAAGCACGAGGGCTCAGCAGTGTGTGATTCCATTGTGTTATGAGATGATTGTGAGTATTGTAAATGTAATCGAGGACATGATTTGTAGCCATACTAAAAACGGGAACTGGACGTCCAAAACGGTAAATAAGGTCTCCATATCTACAGGGATATGAAAGTCGCTTCAAGAGCATACAGAGGCCTTCCATACCATCTACAACACTCCTCTGAGAAAGTTGAAATGACCGTGGAATCCTAAGAGCTTGAGCCAGTGTTGGAAGATCTCTTTTCCTTACTCTAAATTCGGCTTTGCATTCGTCGTCGTTCATGTTATCCAAGTCAAAGCGATCGTACGAATCATAAGCAAAATCTGGATTTCGTGAAGAAAACAACTCGTATAAGATTATGAAATCCTCATCAGTAATAAGATCAGCATCGTAGTAGAGAAGAAGGGTCTGACGAAACTCTTTAAAACAGGGACCGCGCAGCAAGTTTCCGACTGGGGGGGCTAAAGAAGAATGCGTGAAGGAATTTTTTGGGGGGGGCCGGGAGGGGGGGGCATGCTTGTGGATCTCTATTCAATTTCTCTAAAGTAACGGAGAATGCGAATAACGATAAAACTATTGATTTTTTTTCCACATCTTCAGTGATGTTGCTATCGGGTCTGAAAATTCACCATCACTAAATTGAAATATCATAGATTGTTATGTTATACTACTGATATCAACCTTTAATTACTATAAATAAGCCAGAAATCCAACGATTTTGCTTGAGCTGCCTTGAACTCAAGGCTGTATAATTACTGAGCAATTATTGCACGAGGCTGAGTATGATATGAAGAGTTATGCAGATCGAGGGGGTTATCCGCCAAAGCCGAAGGCTTGAGCCCGGTGGATAACACCCTCCGAGATCTGTATATCTTCATATCATACGAAAGCCGAGTTCAAGCTGAGTTCAATAATTGTTTAATTATTCATTAAAAATATTTACACGGCAAAACAAAACGGTAACTGAAAATAATTTAGTGAATGAAGATTCAATTATAGAACAGATTCAGAAAAAAGTAGCAAAAATTATGCAGAGTTTACTCACCAGATAAAGAAGGTTTTCCATTTTGTTTGGATAAGTAATCAGAAATTTTAAGAGATCTCTTCTTTGCATTACTAGTGGTATGTGAAGTCTCGTCGTTCGTATTTATGTTGCCGTGTACCATGTTCACTTCTTTGTTCGTAATAACCGCCGGATTGAATGTTCCTTGATAACCAGAGCTATACACAATTCCGCGGTTTAAGTACTTTCGATGACAAAATGTTTTTATAAACAGACCGCGTTCAACAAAACTTGCAATTGGAATGCCCAACGAGCCGCGAAGCCTGACATCAAAAGACGGACTTCGCGCTGATCGAGCTAAAATCAGGATGCACAATAACAAGAGAAACAATAACTTCATGATCTTCCAAAAATCAAGGTTGAAACTAATAAACAATTTGTTTGAGAATCGCCTTATAAACTAAACCCAGTTATTACTTTGGATCGAAATTGACCAATTACGAAACAACGCGTTTTCCTGAGAGGTCCGCAGGAAAAAGAAGCCATTTAAAAGACGTTTACCTCTGCTAGGTTAGAAGCGAAAAAATATTTTACAATTGTAACGTCTAATGCTTCATTCTGTCTATTTATCTGCGCGTTTGTCTTTGCCAGTAACTCTGGTCACTTTCGAATTACTTTTGTTAAATTATTTTTTGTTTAATTTGTTTTTATTCTTGCAAAAAAGTGGGGGGCTAAACCCCCCCAGCCCCTCCCGCTGCGCGGTCCCTGTAAAACTTGCCATAGCACAACAGATGCAAAACTTTATCAGGAACTGAGAATGGAGGCGTCTTGTCAAAACAGCATCCGTGCTTAACAAATTAAATTTGGCGGGAGAGCGACGACGTCAGACCCAGGCCTTCGTGGATCTGACGGCGGCGTCGTCCTCGAAGTCTCTCGTGCTTAAGCTCCCTATTTCTCTGTCATTTTTTGCACCATTAGATCAGGGACCACTCGAGGTTCAATCTCAAATGGTACCCAGTTTTTCAAGTGCTTTCTTTTTGTCAACTTATTTATGAGTTTTTGCCAAACATTTGATTAGCCTTTGTCAAATTCACCATTTTTTGGCAAAAATTTGCCTTTTTCGAAAATTCAGTAATTTTCAAGGTAGCCTTATTTGTCATCTCATTTAAAATTTTGTTCAAACCTTTCATGTATTCTTCCAAATTTGTAATTTTCGCCAAAATTTGCTATCCTCGTAAAAATCTCTAATTACTAACAGACCATTTTTCGTCATGTCATTTGGCAAGCTATTCATTACTTCTTGCCAAAGTCGCTATTTTCACCAAATTTGTCATTCTTGTAAAAATCGCCAACGGTCAACATGCCACTTTTTGTCATCTCATTTGAATATTTGGCCAAACCCTTGATGAATCTTTGGCATACTCGCCATTTTTACCAAAATCTGCCTTTATCGCCTGAATTTGCCATTTTCTCATAATTACTGTTTGTACAAGCGGCCCGTTTTTGTCGTCTCATTTAAATTTTGCCAAATCTGTGATAGATTTTTCCAGAAATTTGTTGATTTCACAAAAAATGGCATTTTCGTAAAAACCCACAACTAACGACATCCTTCTTTTGTCATCTTGTTTTAACTTTTGCCAAACCTTTGATAAATTCTTGCCAAATTGGCCGTTTTCGCCAAAGTTGCTATTCTCGCTAATTATCAACAGGCAATTTTCCCGGACCTTTGGTGAATCCTTGCCAAATTCGCGAATTTTGCAACATCTGTCATTTTCGTAAAATCCACAATTATCGACATGCCTGTTTCGTCATATTGTTTAAAGTTTTACCAAACATTTTATAAATTCTTGCCAAATTTGTCATTTTCGTAAAACTCACAATTATCGACATGCCTGTTTCGTCATATTGTTTAAAGTTTTACCAAACATTTTATAAATTCTTGCCAAATTTGTCATTTTCGTAAAACTCACAATTATCGACATGCCTCGTTTATCATCTCATTTTAATTTGACAAACCTTGTTGCCCAATTTGCCATGTTTGTTATAATCACCATTTCTCAAGATGCCACTTTTTGTCATCTCTTTGTAAGTTTTTGTCAAACCTTTGATAACTTCTTGCCAAATTCGCCATCTTTGCAAAATTTGTCATTGTCCTAACAATCGCCAACTATCAACATGCCCCTTTTTGTCATCTCATTTGAATATTTGGCCAAACCCTTGATGCATTTTTGGCACACCCACCATATTTGTCGAAAATTGCCTTTTGTCAATCTTCCCCTCTTTGTCACCTCATTTGAGGTTTTACCAGATCGTGGGTGGATTCTTGCTCAATTCCCCATTTTCTCAGATTTGCCATGTTTGTGAAAATCGCCAATTGTCAATATGACTGTTTTGTTGTCTCATTGTCTCAATCCTTGCCAAATTAGCCGCTTTCGCAAAATATGTTATTTTCGTTAAGCCCACAATTATCGACATGCCTCTTTTGTCATCTTGTTCTAATTTTCTCCAAACCTTAAATATAAATTTTTTCCAAATTTGTCATTTTCGTAAAATCGCCATTTGTCAAGATGCCCCTTTTTTGTTATCTCATTTGAATATTTGACCAAACCCTAGATGAATTTTTGGCACACTCGCCATTTTTGCCGAAATTTGCCTTTTTGTCCTAAATTTGCCATTTTGTTATTATGATCGCCATTTGTCAAGATTCCCCTCTTTGTCACTTCAGTTGAGGTTTTGCCAAACCTTTGATGGATTCTTGCCCAATTCCCCGTTTTCTTAAATTTGTCATTATCGCGAAAATCGCCAACTGTCAACATGCCTCTTTTGTTTTCTCATTTAAATTTTTTTTCAGACCTTTACATGGAATGAATCCTTTGCCAAATTCGCCAATTTCGCAAAATTTGTCATTTTCGTAAAACCTACAATTATCAACATCCCTCTTTTGTCATCCTGCTTACATTTTTGCCAAACTTTTATAAATATTTGCCAAGTTTGTCATTTGTCAATATGCCCCTTTTTGTCATCTCATTTGCATTTGGCCAAACTCTTGAACTCTCTATTTTTCCGAAATTTGACGTTTTCGCCTAAATTTGTCATTTTCTTATAATCGCCATTTGTCAAGCTTCCCCTCTTTGTCACCTCATTTGAGTTTTTGCTAAACCTTTGATGGATTCTTGCCCAATCCCCCATTTTTTCAATTTGCCAATTTCGTGAAATCGCCAACTGTCAATATTGCTGGGTTGCACTTGACGTCACAGCGGCTATGTTGGTGGTCAAGAACAAAAGCATGTGTCTCCTCTGTGAACTAGACTCTATTTTCATGTTAATTATTCGAGAAAAATTATATTGTATTGATCCCCAACATTGCCGCCTTGTCTCATGGTTGCAAACCAACAATGCTTCTTTTGTGGTCTCATTTAAAATTTTTGTCAGACCACTGATGAATCCAAATTCGCCAATTTCGCAAAATTTGTCATTTTCGTAAGACCCACAATTATCGAGATGCCTCTTTTGTCATCTTGTTTTAATTTTTGCCAAACCTATAAATTATTGCCAAATTTGTAATTTTCGTAAAATCGCCATTTGTCAAGATGCCACTTTTTGTCATCTTATTTGAATATTTGGCAGAAGCTTCGATGACTTTTTAGCATACTCGCCATTTTGGCCGAAATTTCCCTTTTTCGCCCAACATTTGCCATTTTCTAATGATCGCCGTTTGTCAAGATTTCCCTCTTTGTCACCTCATTTGACGTTTTGCAAAACCTTTGACGGATTCTTGCCATTTTCTCCAATTTGCCATTTTCGTGAAAATTGCCAGCTGCCAATAGGTCTCTTTTGTTGTCTGACTAATTTTTTTGCCAGACCTTTGATGAATCCTTACCAAATTCGCGAATTTCGCAAAATATGTCATTTTCGTAAGACCCACAATTATCGGCATGCCTCTTTTTTCATCCTGTTTCAATTAGGGTTAGGATTATAGACATTTTATAAATTCTTGCCAAATTTGCCCTTTTCGTAAACAATAGAAAAGTGAAAACGCTAAAAGGGATAATGCGCTATTTTTTCGTTTCGCGAGAAACGGCTGTTTTCGCAGGCTAGCGCGATCGCTGTTTTAAACAATCAGAGCATGCGCGCGCGCTGTTAGCTTGGGCAAAGGGGTCAGTTTTATTCTCATAAAATTGATCGGTAAAGGAAGAGAGACCCTTTTTCCCGGGACAATTTTTCTTCATACAAATGGGGCCTATAAAGTCAGTGCCACCCTAGCTTCCCCACCAACCCACAGCCTGTGGTCAAGCAGGGGGACCTATTTAAGGGTGGATGAACTCGTTATAATACCATTGCCATCCACCACAGGCACTGCCAAACCCACAGTTATAGATGAATATAAAAATAACTAGTTAACCCTTACAAAAGTGACTCTGGG